CTCCCTCCCCAATCCTGTTTTTAGGACCCAAATTTGAAGATATGATCTAGGGTGACCAAGTTGGGGTTGAAACCATCTTAGAATTTAGAAATGGACGACTTACTCAAAGCTGTTTCAATGAGAAATATTTCCGAATGATGAACATTTCACAGGGGGATATTTTCAGATTAATTTACGATGACTTTAAGAATAATTGAGTAATATTCATCAGTACAAAGAGCTAAGCACTAAGGAAATTTTAAAACATTAGGGGCACACTACGTCGCCAGTATAGTGGACAAGTAGATCAAGACTGAAGGCAAAGACAGGAGCTCTTCCACTTGCCAATTTCGATAAACACAGAAGGCATTCGAATATGATCTGCACTTCAATTTCCTTATCTGTAAAACGGAAAGATTGGATCTTATCAAGGTCCCTCCCAGTTCTAGATGACTGGGATTTGAAAAGCAAGATCCAGGGCTTTCAAAGATGACAAGTGTTAACTTGCATTCCCTCCTCAAACCCTTCTAGCCACCTGCTCTTCAACATCTCGGATTACCTGGCTACAAAGTCGGCTCCCCTTTTCTGGCTGCTTTCCAGTTGCCCCGACGACCCCAGGTGAGCAGCAGACGACCAGTGCCTAGAAATGAATTACTGACGACTAATCAGGGGATAGTGGGCTCTGGGTCCCCAACCTCATAGATCTACAAACCGGAATCCTCAAAAGACACCGCTCCCTAGGCATTAGAGGTGTATGTTTATGTTCCTGAAACATCCCTACAGCAGATGCAAAGGCCCATGCAGGCTGGGCCACTTCGGACGCCGGGCCCCGGGTCCTGGAGCATCTCACCTCGGGCGTCCCGCCTCTGGTGGGCTCCACAGGGGACACAGGACAGCGCGGAGATGTCGAAGAACTGGTTCTGGCCGCACGATTCCGGCCGCAGGAAAGGGAGAGAGAAGGTCTGCATTTGCGCGACTCCGGGGAGGGCCAGCAGGAGTAGCGCCGTCAGGGCCACTGCGGACAAAGTGGCCCCAGC